AAGAGAACCTCACAGAGACCTCAAAGAACCCCTGGGCACACAGAAACCTGTGCTGGGGTTCAGGACCACCTCCCTCAGCCTTCCTGCTCTGCTTCTGGGCTGCCCTTGACTTCTCAGCTCAGCAAAGCACAATCTCTGCTCATACCTCTCTGCAATAACCACCCCAGAGCCCCCAGTGCCACATCCTCGATGCTCATGGGCATGGCAAAACCACCAGCTGCAGTGTTTCCACCCTGGCCAACAATCAGGGACCTAGAGGAGGGATTAGCTCCCACCAAGAACTGCCAAGAGCTGAGGCTAAACCCTCCCAGCAGGCACAGAGACACAGCAAGGACTTACGGAGCTGCAGACACCCCAGCTGTGAGGTGCAGGGTGAGCAGAAGGACAGGCAGGGCTGAAGACCTCATGCCTCCAGCTGGGAGGGACAGCCACAGGCTCCTTCCACAGGTGTGGAGCTGTCTGCAGGCTCTGAACTGGGATCTTTGCTTCCCCTCCAGTGAGCAAACAAGAGCTGGCAGAGAAAGATCCACGTGGATGTGCAGAGACAGCCCAGGCAGTGTTTACCCTCTGCCCACAGCTCCCTGGGTTCAAGGCTCTAAGGGATTTTTGCAATCCTAGGAAAGGTTCCTATTGCTTGTGGAGGTTCCAAGCGTGGGAGCAGGACCCACCTCTGCCCTGACTGCTGGGAAGTGATGGAACAGAGGGAAAAGCACGAGGACAGTCAGTGCTGGGGCTGATTTCCCAGAAACAGCAAGTTTCAGGTTCTTCAGATTTAGTCAAGAGAAACTATTTGGGCTGATAGCAGAGTTTGGGCTGATAGCAGAGTTTGGGCTGGAGTTTTGCCCAGTTTCATCCAGTCTGGGCAGAGGAACAGTGTTGGGCTGTGGTGTCAGTTCTGCTCTTTGCCTGCTCTCGTTCCTCTGTGCACCACACTCTGGAGCTGGACACCAACCAGGGCAGGGGCTGAGCTGTCCTGCTGGGAATTCAGGACACTTGAGGCAGCTCCATGACAGCCACAGGATGTCCTGAGCACATCCCTGTGCTGGGGGTGCAGTTCTCTTCCCTGTGGGACTGGGGGCAGAGGCAGTGCTGCAGGAACCATGGAAAGTGGCTGAGTGTGCCCAAAGCATTGAGCTGAGCTGGCACTGAGGCAGGAGCTGAGCCCATGGGACTGGTTGCTGGGCTGGGGGCTCAGCAGGGCTTGGAGCCACTGCCAGCACCATGGAACTGCAGGAGGCTGGAACCAGTGGGTGTCTAATGATGCAGGAAAGCTCCACGTGAGAGAAGACATCAAAGGAATGCTCCAAAGGGAAGAGTTCATGCCCTGTGCCAGTGCCAAAAGGAAGGAGCTGCACCCTGGGCACTCTGTCACTCACCCTGCCACTGCTCCCCACACCACCCAGCACAGGGTTGCTCCATATGCAGAGACCCAACGTGTCCCTAAGGAGATGGATCCCCCTCCCCACAGCACCTGAGGCACAGCAGGACACACACACACACAGCACTGCTCATCATCAGAGACTCTTTAATCTTGCACCCTTGGCTCATAGCAACAAGGATGTTCTTCCCATGTGGCAACATCCCATGGACCTCCTGTTCCCCACCAAGCCACACACTGCACTCTGGACCACTCCCCCAGGCTGGGTGGAAGAAGAGCCCAACAAATCCATGGGTGAATCCCAGCACCAGGGATGGAATATGGTGCTGTGAACCCCCAGCCCTGCCTGGAGCATCCTGCAGGCAGGAGCACCCAGGGGGACAGACACAGCTCCAGGTCTGGGGGCAACAGGCAATGCCCAGTCCTAGTGAAGGGTTTGGGGGGCACCTTACTCTGGTTTTGGGGTGCTGCCTGGTCCCTGTCCTGCACTGCTCTGCTGCCCTTGCACCAGGGCACTGTCCCACACACAGACTGGTGGACACATCCACAGAGGACACCTCTCCCTTGTGTCCCCAAGGAGCTCATTCCCACTGCCTATCTGGTGGTCCTGGCTGTGTCCTCCTCACACTGGGGACTGTCCAGTCCCTCACCAGCACCACCCCCAGTGCAGTGGGGGAGAGGAGGCTGCTCGTGTTGGTTCCCACAGTGACTCGCAGACATCTCAGTGAGGACATCAGCCATGGCCTGACGCACAGTCTCGCTCAGCTCAGGGACATCCTCTGGGCTCAGGCCCTGTGTTTCCACCTTGGGGAGGATTTGGATGGTGCACGTCCCTGGGAGAGAAGGGGAAGGCCAGAGATGATGTTAGAGAAACCCACCAGGTCTTCCCACCAGCATCTTCCACCACCAGCTGCCTCCTCACTCCTCAATGTCCCACAGAGACCCCCAAGCCCCATGTGCCTCATCTCCCCTAGCATGGAGCTTCTTGGCCAGCACTTACCAGAGGTGAATCTCTTCTCCTTGGAGCTGAAGAAGTCCCAGTATGGGGAGATCACAATGGGCAGAATGGGAACCTGTAGGACATAAAGGGTCAGGGACCCACACACATCATCAAGTCCAACCTTTGACTGAACTGATGCTCTTACCTGAGCCTGCACAGCCAAGTGGAAAGCTCCACGCTTGAAGGGCAACATGGATTTGCTCTGGTTCCTGGTGCCTTCAGGGAAAATCCAGACTCGGAGCTGCACAGCACAGGGAGAGGGGTGAGCACAGACCCCAGGCAGGACACCTGTGACCTGATGTGTCAATCCTCCTCACCTCTCCCTTACCCCATTGATGTTTCCCCCCCTCAACTCTTCCTGCTACCAACCCCACTCACGTTCTCACGTCGCACGGTCTCGGCTGTCTTGGAGATGACATCGATTGCCACCTCCCTCCTGAAGCGGTCGATGAAGATGATGCCACTGAGCCAACAGGCCCAGCCCACAGTGCCCATGTACTTCAACTCCTTCTTGGCAATGGGCACACAGCGCTCAGGAATGACCTCCACCATGCCTGGAGCAAGGATGGATGGATGGATGGATGGATGAGCTGTTGGCATCACCCCAACCCCATCTCATTTGCAGTAGAAAAATCAGCTTGGGAAATTGTTTATTGCTTGGAAGTTTAAGTCCCAGGTTGGACCAACCAGCTGAACTCCATCAGCTCAGCCACCCCATGCCTTCCCCAGGAGGTGATTAATTCAGGAAGGAACCCTCTGGAGAGGACAAATTACCTCAGTGCACTGACAGATTAATTAGGTATTTACACTCTAATATAGCACCAGGTTGGATGATTCAAAGGATTTAGAGTCATGGCCAATGGCTCTCAGAACCAGCCAGCCCCGTGGCTGTAGTGACCTGGCATCATCTCAGTGTCCCAACCCCTGTGTCCCACCAGCTTTTCTGGCCTTCACCCACCACCCTGCCCTGCACAGATCCTGGTGCTGACCTCGCTGGGACCCCCAGAGTGAGCCTTATCCACCCCTGCAGCACCCCAAAGGCTGCCCATGCAGTGATGAGCTCCCCCCCGTGCCCTGCACATACCCAAGAGGTCAAGGGAAGCTTGGTGGTTGCAAACTATCACAAAGGGCTCCTGGAGGTTCAGGTGCTCAGAACCCCTCACCTGCATCTTGATGCCATACAAGTGTTTGAGGGGCAGAATCGCAGCACGAAGGAGCCTAGGGCAGAGGAACACGTGTGAGGAGAAAATCAGGGCAGAGGAACATGGATGAGGAGCAGATCAGGGCAGAGGAACACGTGTGAGGAGAAAATCAGGGCAGAGGAACACGGATGAGGAGCAGATCAGGGCAGGGGGAGGCTGTCTGGGTTCTGCCAGCCCTGCACAATCACTCAGGGAGCAAGATGAGCCAGGCTAGGGCTGATCTGCAGGTCTGGTGGACCCATGTCTCAGCAATGCTTTGCTGGGAGGGCTCAGGTGGGACAGATAAGGCTCAGTGAGTCACCACAGAGTCACTCGGGGATTTCCTCCCAGCGTTTGCCCCTGGGCTTGGAGCAGCCCTGGATGGAGTCTGTGCACACAGCATCCCTGCAGAGAAGGGATGAGGGAGAGAGGCTGCACAACACCCTGAGGACATCAAACCTCTGAGCAGGCTCCCACCGAGGGCTGAAATCCAGCACACAAACCGGGGATGGCTCCAGCTCAGCAAACACCTCAAGCTTGGCTATTTTTCACTCTGCCATAATTATATCCCTCTTGGTATGTTATCATGCCCAGGAATCCTGAAAGGAGATTGCGACACCCCTGGAAGCAATCAGACCTTCCTCTCGTGTTGCACTGTGATGTTATCTCTGCTGCTGCCACCCTCGAGTGCAGGTGAGAGCACGAGAGCAGGACTCAGCCTCACCAGGACGTGACTGTGTCACACCTGACAGCTGAGGGCACTGACACATCCCAAAATCACAGGAGCATGGAATGGTTTGGGTTGGAAGGGACCTTAGAGACCATCTAGTTCCACCTCCTGCTATGGGTGGGGACACCTTCCTCCAGCATCACAGAATCATCAAGGTTGGAGGAGACCTCTAAGATCATCAACTCCAACCATTAACCTGTCACTGCTGTAACCCTTAAACCAGATCATCCAGCACCAGGTCCAGACACCCCCTAGACACCTCCAGGGATGGTGACTCCATCACCTCCCTGGGCAATTCCAGTGCCTGAACACCCTCACAGGGAAAAAATGTTTCCTGATATCTAGCCCAGGTTGCTCCAAGCCTCATCCAATCATTCCCAGGGCTCTCTCCAAGCATGATCTGGCTGCAGTGCCAGGGACACAGCACTGAGTGTGCATTTGCATCCTGCTGAGGTTCACACCAGCCCAACTGGTGACCCCAACATTGCACTGTTAGAGCAGAGTGGCAGGCTAACGGTTGGACTTGATGCTCTTAGAGGTTTCCTCCAACCTTGATGATTCTATGATTGCAATGGCCAAGAACAATCCCTTTTATGCTACTTCATCCCCCAAGGACCACAAGTCCTGACCCAGCTGGTCACTTCCATTGTGGTGTAACCCTCCCTGGGCATGACCAACACCTCTTCACCACACCACAAGATGCAGATTCATTGCCACATGGATATGACCACAGCCCTCACCACCAGCCAGAACAAAGCTGTGGGTCTGCCTGGGGCAGGAGAGAGTGTGTGTTCACAAAACCACAGCAGGTCCTTCACCCTAGCCCAGCCCCAGCCATCTCCAGACCACCTCCAGGCCATACTCACTTCATGTTCTCCACGGAGCGTCCCCGGAACGCGGCGATGGGCGACAGGAGGGTGGCCATGGCCAAGACCCAGCAGTTGAAGAAAGCCACCTTGCAGTAGTAGTGGAAGGTGGTGTTGTAGCAGTAGAGCAGCACTGCCAAGGGGATGAGGAGCAGCAGCAGCTCCATCATGCTGCCCTGACAGGAGGTGCTGGGGAGCTCAGCCCACGACCCCAGGAGCAGGTGAGTGACACAGGGGACACTGAGGAGCATGGCAGATCAATCAGGTGGATCCTGTGTGGGTGTTGGGGGCTGGTCCAGGGGAAGGAACTGTCTCTCTCACCCTGAGCAGAGGCTTGAGGATGGAGTGGCTCAGATGGGAAGGAGGATACCCCATCCAGGGTGGAGAGTGGTGGTGAGTCAACACCAGGACCCTGAGTCACCCAAGGTGTCACTGCTGCTAAGTGCCCTCCTGCGTTATTAAAAGCCATTGCAGTCACTCCAATTTGATCCTATCAGATCTGTTGCTCACCAAAATGTCTGTGTCCTGGGCATATCCCCTGGCCATAGGGATGCCAACCCTGGGTAAAAGGGACAGTAGGACCTGGCCCTGGTCCTCGCCCATCACCTTAGCAAAGCTCATCACAGTTATCTCCTGGCACCATGGCTGAGCCCTCAACCTCAGCCTGCAGAGTAGCAGGTTACTGGTTACAGAGCTCTCCCCACCTGGCATGTGGTGCCAGTGCTCCCCACATCTCTGCTCCCCCAGGTTGGCTGACAGGAGCTCCTCTGCCCTTCCCCTCCCAAGGCCCAGCAGCTGTCCCAGGGTCCCAGCAGTGCCCTGGGGGCTGAGCCCTGCCACCCCCTCTGTACCCTGTGCTGGAGGAGATGCCAGCCCTGACCCCAGTTGGCAGCCAGGGGCTGTGTTACACGAGGTGTTTTCATAGGTGCAATTAGCACCACGAGGCTGTAATTAGCCTCTCCTTCTAATCTGCTGCCTTCACACAGGATCCAGCCCAGCTCTGGGCTGCCCTGCAGAAACTCTGCTCTTGCTTTTAGAAACCAAGAGCTTGTCACAGCAGAGATAACTGTGGCCTAGTCTCAGTCACCAGGAGCATCTCCCAGCCTGGCTGGTCCATGGCCCAAATCATGAAATCACAGAATTCCACAATGGTTTGGGCTGGAAGGGTGTTAAAGTCCATTCATTTCCACCACATGCCATGGGCAGGGACACCTTCCACTTCAAAACCTTCTGCACTGCCTTCCAAACCACACTGCACTGCTATTGCCCTCCATGGCCACAGCTGCTCCTTCCACCCACACCTTGTCCCTGTCCCCACTGCTGTGAGTGCCCTCAGGCCATGGCCAAGCAGTGTTCCCCCTGTGCTGCCAGCTGGAGGCTGCCCCAGTTTGACCAGTGACACAGAGAGGCCTCGGGGGTTATGTCCACCATGGGTGTTGCAATCCCCATTGCTTCACCTTCCCATTCCAGTCATTCATATTAAAGCTCAGATTGGGTCATATCTCCAGCCCATCCTTCCTGTCCTCCTCGTTCAGGTGACTCCTCTCCTCCTTCTTCCCTGTCTCCATGCAGAAACCTTTGTGCTCCAGCCTGCTCTCCCATCAAACTCAGCTTTGATCTTGGATGGCTCCTTCCCTTCTGCTCTGCCCAGCCAGTCCCACCACCTCTTGGGGGGCTCCTGCTCCACATTTGGAGCCTTCTCCTCCAGCTTCAGCAAGGGTCAACATCTTCCTCAGGAGCCAGGCTGAGAAAGATCTGCCCATACCAGGGCACAGGGAGGATAAGCCATTGGGATTCCAGAGGAGAAGCAGGACAGTCCTCCTGCCCAGCGTGGGCAGAAGGAGAGGATTTAAGGTGCTGCTGCCTTTCTGCATGCTCTGAGCTCCAGAAAGCTTTCTGCCTTCTGCCAGGAGCTCTGCTCTTGGGCCAAGCCTGGAGCCCCACTGTGGTCAGAGCAGGGTTTGGGGAGGTAGCAGAGACAAGGAACACCTTCCAGCACCAAAAATGCATCTCTCCCCACTTCCCTCTGCTCACTGAATGCTGGAAGAATCCATGATCCACCCTTTCCAGGCTGCTGCCCTAACCACATCCCCACCAAGAGGGAGTTGCAGGCCACATCCAGCTCTCCCACCTCTCAGCCAAGAGCAGCCCACTCTGCTTCCCAGCACCCACACCAGGCACTGAAACACCCCACGCTGGGTGCAAGAGGCTCTGGGTCCCACCTCACCCCCCCAGGCTGGAGGGAGCTCTGTGTTCAGGCACGAAGCCATCAGTGAATGCAATTACAGATGCTTAATTAGTGACAGCAGGGAGCTCTCTTAACAAAGCAAATTAATTACAGGCAATGTGATGCTTTGAGATCTGAAGGGGCTAATAAAGCCCAGGACCACCTGGGCTGGGAACATCCTCCCTCTCCCCACCCACAGGGACACAGCACAGCCTGTGCCAACGAGTCTTCAGGACTTGGCAGAGACTTGTTGTCCAGTTGGGACTGGGATGGCACCTGGGGTTGGGTGACAGGCTTTGTGACACCCCCCTGCCTTGGGGTGACTTCCACCCTGCAATGATGGGTATCATGGAGCAATCAGCCAGGATCTTCTGGGATCAAGAGCAGGAGAAATCACCTCAGGAAGCACAGAGCTCACAGCCTCCTCTCCACCACGTCGTAGTACTCTGGGGACAAAAGGAGGAGCTGGAGGATGTCCAAGGTATGTCCACCCTGGGGTCTGATAGACATAGGGAGCAGAGAGGGCTCAGCCTTGGATGGAGGCTGCTGAATGCTTGAGGGCAAGACATTCCTCGTTGAGGGACATGGGGACAACTTGTCCTTACCTGATGCTGGTGGGACATTGGGTCCCACCGTCCCAGTGGCACTGGGGGGTGGAGGAGGAGGCACTGCACTGCTGGAGAGGAGCAAAGACAAGTCAGTGCTGGACTGATGTTCCCCCTGGAAGTCCTGTGACACCAGAGCACACAGGGACACGTGTCCCAGGTGGCCAAAGCACCACCCTCGTTACTCACACCTCATCCTCAGCTAACGAGCCTGTGCCCAGGTACCTCACAGCCACTGGGCCAGGGGCTGGGGGGATGGATGGGATGAGCCACGCTGGGATGGGAGCAGGGCCAGGGTAGGGGATGTAGTGGTGATGGAACACCACAGCCTTCTCTTCCTCTTCAGCCTGCAGAGGCACCACCAGCGCCTGCAGGGAGGAACAGAAGGCAGAGCTGTGCCAGCTCCTTGTCTCCCTGGGGCTCTGCTCCCCAAAGCTCCAGCAAGGAGTTCCCATGGAGCACCCCTGAGCCTTACCTGGGCTGGGGATGGCCCAAAGCCAAAGGCTGTCAGTGCTGCTACAGCCAAACTGTTCATAACCACCTGGTGCATTTGGGAGTTTTGAATCATCATCAACTCCATTAAATCTGTTAGAGAGGGAGAAGGATGAGAGCAAGGGCACGAGAAACACAGGATGAGGCCTGGGATGGGGCAGGTCCAAGGTTCATCCCTGTTCCCAAGCAGCAGGAGCTAAGCCAGGCTCCCCCCACCCCAATTTGGAAGGCACATGTGGCATTTAATGATTCTTTTGCTTGGCTGAAGCTTGGAAATAGGCATATTTCAGCCTTTTCTTTTTGCAAATGTGACTAAACATCTGCTGTGGCTCACAAGAGGTGATTAGTGGGGCTGGAGGCACCAGACTTTGCACCCATTCAGAACTGCTCCAGCCCTGGCAGTGCTCAGTGCCTTGGCAAACATCTCCGGGGATGGTGACTCCACCAACCTCTCAGCTCAAGGCCATTCCCTCTAGTCCTCTCCCTGCAGCCACGGCAGGAAGCCACGTCAGGAGAGATTCTCTCCCCACTCCCCCCCCAGCCTGGAGCTGCTTGGGCTGTTGTGTCCCAAGGACAGACCCAGCACTGAGCCTTAGTGACCCTCCTGCAGTTATCCTCAACCCAGAGATTAAGTCTGTCCAGGTCTCTCGGAGCAGAGAGACCTCACCTGGGAAAGGCTGGAAAAGAAGAAGAGGATGATGTTAAGCCGGTTTTACCCTCACACACCTCCCCGGACGCGCTGGGGTCTGGCAGGGACCGTTCCACTCCCGGGAAGATGCTGCAGCATCAGCAGCGGCGGCTGCGGAAAGGGGGAGGACAAGGAAAGCGCCAGGATCACACACTGCTGCCTTCATTTAGAGCCCTGTCGGGGGGGCTGGAGGGGAGGAGAGGGGACAGGGCTGGTGGGAAGGGAGGAGAGCACATGTCCCTGTGCAGGGATGACCTTCCTGGGGCCTCGGGAGCTGCAGGGAGGAATTTTGCAAGGAGCATCTTTGGTTCTCACCCAAAGCCGCAACCCCAGCGCCTCTCTCCTCCCACCCCACCCCATTTCCCAACACCTATCCCATCAGTTCAGGGGAAGAACTGCTCTCTGGGGCTTACCCCGTGCGGGATGACATAGGTCCCTGCTGGGGGGTCCCCCCAGACCTTTCCCTTCGCCCCCAGCTCCATGGCTCAGGGGATGAGTCTTGCGGAGCTGCCGCAGCGCTGGGATCGTTGCCACGGCAGCTGGGCAGAAACAAATCCTCCCCGGAGGCTTGGCCGGGTGAGGAATGTCCCTGGGCTGGTTTTCCCCGCGGTGTATCCGCAGGAAGAGCCTTCCAAGCACGGGCAGAAGCCCCCGGAGGCGCAGGGAGGCAGCTGCGGTGTGTCCCCGAGGGGCTGAGCCGCGTTCCTGGCTCCTCTTGGAGCAAACCTGGCCAGGTGTTTTTGCAGGAGCATTGGGAAGTGGGTCTGGATGAGCCTGGGATAGCTGTGGGTGTCAGGCTGGGGCAGCTCTGCCAGGCTGTGGTGTTTGTGGAGCAATCCCTGCCCAGGGGCTGTGTTGGTGGAGGGAGAAAGTCCTTTAACTCCATGGGATGTTCCCTCACAGGTCCCTAGGGACAACATCCCCCTGTGCACAGCCAAGGCACAGTGGCCAGGGGTGTCTCTCAGCCCTGTCCTGAGGTTTGGTCCCCAGGATGCCCATGCCACAGTGCCTGGGTCTGTCTCCCAACCTCCTGGACCACTTACTTCCCCAAGGATGCAATGACCAACTACCACATTCCCCAATGGAAACATGAGCAAGGCTTAGCTCCCATCCCTGCAAGCCTCAGGTATCTTTCCTCCACCTCCCCCAGCTGCATTTGCCCAGGCTGCACTTGTGGGGGTTTAATTCCATCCATGTTACATCCAAAATCTGCCATGCAGCAGCAGGACAGATCTGGGAACCCTTCCTCATGTTACATCCAAAATCTGCCATGCAGGAGCAGGGCAGATCTGGGAACCCTTCCCAGGAGCTCAGCAAGCAGGAACAGATCTCTCCAAGAGCTCTTGCTCTGCCCCAGGATGGCACTGGAGCCCCCCTAGATGCTAGGGGAGAAGTACTCCAAGGCAAACTGCCTCCAACCCAACCCTTGGCTCCAGTCAGGCTTTTTTCTGCTTGATTAGCCTTTTCTCTGTGTTCTTAATTTCTCCAACTCCCTCTGGATTGTTTCTCTGCCTTTTGTTATTACTCCCAAATTCCTGTTATTTGCACATTTAATTACTGTGCTGATTCCTCCTCATTCCTGGCAGAGCCTGATGTGCTCAGAACAGAGCGTGGCTGTGGGCCCTGCTGTGGCTGGTGCTGCTCTTCTCTGTAGGAGGGATTTGAGTACCAGGACAAGTGTAAGGAGTCCTTGTGCCACAGGTGGGACACGAGGGGTGGCAGGAGACCTGCTTGGAATGTTCTCATTCCTCCCATGGCAGCTTGAGTCAGTGCTGCCCCACACATCTGGAGCAGGAACCACAGGATCAGCCCCTCGATGTTCTCTGCACAGGTCTCTGCTCGCAGGGCAAGCAGCAAACAGCAGCAACAAGCTCTGGCAAAGGAGCTGAGTAGGAGCAGACAGGACACAATGGGCAACTGGCAGACCAGGAACACCAGGATGGTGATGCATGCAGCTGGGATGAGCCTCTGGTCTAGTCAGGCACCAATGGCTCCCTGAGCTGCCCTTGATAACTAGGGGAGGGCAGTGAGGTGACAGCACATCCCTTGTGCCATTTCCCTTCCCTGACAACAACCTGGAGCCAGAGAGATTCCCGAGCTGAGGAAACCCCAGCAGGAGTCAGCAGCCTTGCCTAAGTCTCGTGGAAGATGAAGTAAGCAGTGCTGAGGCAACACATCCCCCCTAATCCCTGCTGGCTTCTCAGGGGGATCAAAAACCAGTCCCAAACCAGTTTGGCATTGCCCACGAGGGTATGGAGTGGCAGTTTGGCAGCTGCTACCCCTGAGCCCTCTGGGGGATGCTCTGTGGCTCCAGCTCTGTGAGCAGCTTTGAGCTTCTCACTTTGAGAGATAATCATTAAAAAATACCCTTTTCTTCTTCCAGGAGATCTCACACTGCTGGTGTTTTGAGCCTCATCTTCCCAGATCCATCCTCCAGCCTCCACCGTCTCCTCTTCCTCTGCATTTCCTTCCACAGACTCTTTCCTTCCACAGAGCCTGAGCTGCACCCTGAGGTTGCTGGTGAGGGGTAGGGACACCCCACTCTGCTGGAAGGTGGGATGGAGGCAACTCCGTGAGTCATTAGCAGCCCTTGGTAAATGAGCATTTGTCACTTGCAGAAAGATTCCTGCCAGTGACTTCCTTTGCTTTGGAGACTGAGTCACCCCTAATCACCACCAGGCACCAGCAGCCACCAGCGCTGGATTGCTGGGAGTGCCCGTGGCTGCAGGGAAGGCTCCGGGGAGATTCCCTGGGGATTTGCAGGGCTGGGGTTGATGTTCTCCTCCACCCATGGTACATGCCTGTGCTGCCACACCAAAGCCATGTGCTCGAGCTATATCCTCTGTGCTGTCCCTTGCCACGGCTGGGTATGACCAGCTCAAGGGGGACCAACATGTGCTGGTCCAGGTGGGGAGCTCAGAGGGGGCTGGAGGGTCCTGGGCTGGATGGGATTTGCAAGCTCTGCTGGGCAACCTGTGCCAGTGCCTCAGCAGCCTCCCAGGGAAGAATTTATGGCACTGCTAGAGGTTTCTAGCCCAGGAGCATCCAAGGAGCTGGTGAGAGAGCTTTGTGCTCCCCTTGGGCTCAGCTGTGGGGGGTCCCAGGTCCCTGATGGGAGTAGGTTAGGGGGTGCTGGGGAGCTGGTGGTGCCCAGGCTGGGCAGTGCCAGGCTGGAGGGTCCTCCCTGTGCTGCTTCTCCATCCAACCCTCGGCATGGGGAGGGGGAGAGGAGGGTGGAGCCTCCTTAATACAGAGAGAGGAGCTGTGACATTCAGTCTCACAGAGAGCCAGAGACCATCAGCACTCAGGGACAGCCAGAGCTGAGGGGACACAGGGAGAGGGTCCGGGCCAAGGGGGACCAAGGACCTGCTGCAGGAAAGAGTCCTGGAGGGAGCCAGGAGCAGGACAGGGCTGGGAAGGAGCAGAGTAAAGCAGAGTAAAGTGCTGGGTCACCCCTTTGAGCTGGGGTCCCCCACCCTCAGGGCCATGCAGGAGGAGCTGGGCTGGCCCCAGCCCCTCGAGGACTGAGCCAGGACACACTCTGTTTCCAGCCATGGGGAGTCCCTGGCAGTTCTGCTCACTGCTGGTCCTGCTGCTTGGCCTCATGCTGCTTCAGGTGAGTGTCAGGGCAGGACAGGACTGTGGGGGGACAGGGGGAGTGAGCATGGCATGGACTTCCCTCTGGTGACAGCCACCCTAGGGGCCAGCAGCCCTGGGAGAAGTGTGCTGAGCTCCTGGCCATGGGGGGCTCCCCATCCCATCCCTATCCCCATTCCCATCCCCATCCCCATCTCATCCCCATCCCCATCTCCATCTCATCCCCATCTTCATCCCAGGGCAGAGCCATGGGGACAGCTGGCACTGAACCCCCATGGAAATGGGGGGACACAGGGGGTTGTGTTGCCTGAACTTGTCAGATTGCTCCAGTGGCAAAGAAAAGGAAAGGGAAGAGGGGGGAAAGGAAGGGGAAAAGGGGAATGAAAAAGGAAAAAAGGAGGGTAAAGAGGGAGAAGGGAGAAAAGGGAATAATTGCTATGCCTTTTCCATGCTGTGCCCTGAGCCATCACTGTAATAAGTTTTGGAGGCTGGAAATTTCCTTGAAATTGTGTCCAGCAGGAAAAGGAAAGGAAATCTCCTGGGGGAGGGGAAGGGACCCCACGGGAGTGGCTGCATGGTGACCGGGACAGGGCAGGGAAGGACAGGACTCAGCCAAGGGATGCTTCAATCCTTGGCTTCACCCTCATCCCTCTGTTTCTCCAGCTTTTATACCTCTGGACACACCTGAAACCATCAGCAACCCCAGCTCCTTTTCTTGACCCAAAAACCTGTCCCAGGCATGTCCTGGATGCAGATGCTGCAGCCTCTACCTTATTCCCCCATGGGCTTGAGCTCTAAAGTTCCCTCCCAACCCATTCCATGATCCTACTGTCTGTCCTTTCCCCTCCCAAGGTGCAGGGGACGCATCCTGACTGCTCCATTGTCCTCTATTTCCAAAAGCAAGAAGCAGAATGTCTGGAGATTATCAGGAGGGAAAGCCAAACCCCAACCCACCCTGGAGCCCCCAGGCAGCAAGGTGAGTGTGAGCACCTTCTCCTTTGGGAGGAGGATTTGCTGAGGGGTCTTTGGAGGGTGATCCATGGCTGGGGTTGCAGAGTTCACATGGATGTGGAAAAGCAGGGATTTTCAGGAAAATGGAGAGCAGAACTGAGGCAAAGGCTGAGGAACATCCCTGGAGAGCCCCAAAGCTGCTGCTGCAGGGAGAGAGGGAGGCTGAGACTGCAGCTGGGGGATGGGACATGAACAACTGCAGGGACTCAGTCCTTATAGACTGAAGAGTCATGGAATGGTTTGGGCTGGAAGGACCTTAAAGCTCATCTAGTTCTACCCCCTGCCCTGGGCAGGGACACCTCCCACCAGCCCAGGCTGCTCC